TACTTGGGAGGCTGAGGCAGGAGACTCGCTTGAGCCCAGGAGTTGGAGATTGCTGTGAGCTGTGATGCCACAGCACTCTACCCAGGGGGATAGCTTGTGGCTCTGTCTCAAAAATAAAATAAAATAAAATAAAAATAAAACAGAGTATAAACACAACTATGGAGCTAGACATAATAGTTTGAGCCTGAGTCACAACTACTCCTACCCTCTGAGGCAGGAACTTGAGATTGGCTTGGGCAACATAGCCAAGACCTTGTCTTTAGAAATAAATTAATTAAAAATAAAACATGCTGCTGGGCGGTGCCTGTGGCTCAGTGAGTAGGGCACTGGCCCGATATACCAAGGGTGGCAGGTTCAAACCCAGCCCTGGCCAAACTACATCAAAAAATAGCTGGGCATTGTGGCGAGCACCTGGAGTCCCAGCTACTCGGGAAGCTGAGGAAAGAGAATCACCTAAGCCCAAGAGCTGGAGGTTGCTGTGAGCTGTGATGCCACAGCACTCTACCAAAAGCAACAAAGTGACTCTGTCTCTAAAAAACAAAAAAACCATGGTGCACACCAACATTACAACTGTTTTAATAAAAAACTTTAGGTTACACGTATTTCTACATGTGTCAAGATGGGTTGGTTAACACCAATAAAATTTGAGTATCAATCAAACTAGAAGTTTCTGGAAAGATTTTGATAATTCTAGGATTCTCTCACAACAAAGGGAAATAGTAGAACTTCAAAATCCCACTCCACCCCAGAGTAACCAGGAAGGTAAGAACACACCAGTCAACTGCAGACATTTAGCAGATTGAGTATGTGGTCTACCTAGCATAGGAGTCCTCAAACTTTTTAAACAGGGGGCAGTTCACTGTCCCTCAGACTGTTGGAGGGCCAGACTACAAGCCTGGGACGAGTTGGCTGCTAAGCAGGACAGGAGGTGGCACCAAAAACACCCAGCAGGCCGGATAAATGTCCTCAGAGGGCCACAAGTGGCCCACAGGCCATAGTTTGAGGACTCCTGTGGGCCCAGAGCAAGAAGGGAAGCAGGAAGGAACTAAGGGTGGTTAACACCGTTTCTTTTCTAAGAACTGTCTCTCAGCCTCACAGGATTCCGTCCTCAAGAAGCATGCCTAGGTTTGGCGCCTCTGGCTCAAGTGGCTAAGGCACCAGCCACATACACCTAAGGTGGTGGGTTCAAATCCGGCCGGGGCCCCCCAAAAAAAAAAAAGGCTCCAACAAAAAAAAAAAAAAAAAAAAAAAAAAAATAGCTGGGCATTGTGGTGGGCGCCTGTGGTCCCAGCTACTTGGGAGGCAGAGGCAGGAGACTCGCTTGAGCCCAGGAGTTGGAGGCTGCTGTGAGCTGTGATGCCACAGCACTCTATGCAGGGGGACAGCTTGAGGCTCTGTCTCAAAAAAAAGCATGCCTAGATAAAAGGACCTCAGGCCCAGGTTCATACCCAACACTGAATCAGGTACATGGGTCCTCCCCAAAACATAGAGGCTTATCAAGGACAAGGTGTGAAGCAGGGACCGGGGCCAGTGCAAAGCATTACCAAAGGGACCCATCTGCACAGATAGCAACCAAGGCAGAAATGAAGTGCAGGGACCTCAAACATGGTCTGCAAGATGCATGCTGCTCAGTCTTGACAACTTCAGCTACTAGGGGTCTTAGGGTCCAATGGCATCACATGCCTCTGGATTCCGAGGCACTATTCTGAACTGTCAGGTCCCTTTTATTATTATTATTATTATTATTTTTTTTTTGAGATAAAGTCTTAAGCTGTTGCCCTAGGTAGAGTGCCATGGCATCTCAGCTCATAGCAACCTCCAACTCTTGGGCTTAAGCAATTCTCTTGCCTCAACTTCCCAAGTAGCTAGGACTACAGGCGCCCGCCACAACACCAGCTATTTTTTGGTTGTAGTTGTCATTGTTGTTTGGCAGGCCCCAGCTGGATTCAAAACTGCCAGCTCTGGTGTATGTGGCTAGCGCCTTTGCCGCTTGAGCTATAGGCACTGAGCCAGGTCCCTTTATTTTAGAATGCTCAAATGTTATTTCTGATACTTGCAGCCAAACTGACCCTGACTAAGACAGTAAATGGCTGACAGTGAGGGAAACTAAATGTAGGAGTGAGAGGTTGAGGCCAGACGATGTCCTTGTCTTACTCTCAACTAGAAGGCTGGTACATAGCTAGTGATCAAATACATAACTTGCTCAACCGATGAATAAACAAACTAGAGCAAGAGTGCAATATAAGCAGATCAATGAAATGACATTTACAAGCCCCACTGTGTTATTTGCCAACCTGGATATCTCTTATGCTGAGCTCAGTGAACTCTGATGGTATTCCCACTGCCCAAGATGAGGAAAATGAAGGAGGAAGAGGGGAAATCTACCAGCTTTAAATATGCAAGCCAGCATCTGGGGCCCCGCCACTCTTAATCAGTAATCCAGAATGAGAAGACAGGAAGGCACCAGAAATATGGTGGCAATGAAAGAAGTGGGCTAGAAAGAGAGGGAGGATGTGGACAGAACCAGCAAGAGGCAGAGAAGACAAAAAGCAGCAGTGGAGAAACAAAGGGAAGAACAAGGCCATATAGCCCAGGGCCTCTAAGCACCAAACATGGGCAGGATGTGCTCACCTAGCCGCCGGGGCCTCCAGCCCTTCACGGTTCGGCCCCTTTCCACATCCACAAGGACCCTCCTGCCATCAATCTTCTTGCCATCTGCGTGCTTGTAAGCGGCTGTAACAGATGGGGGGGGAGGGGAGAGGAGTCCCCAGAGGGTCCTCTAGTCAGCACAGGCCCACCTCTCCAGCATCCCCACCCCCACATATCCCCATCACTGCACGCACACCAGCGCGCGCGCACACACACACGCACACCAGACAGCCAGGCAACTGACAGCCAGATCAACCCTCTCCCACACCGGTGAGGGGCCTGCTCCATCTCAGTGTCTATCTCCTCCTTCCTAACACCCCCTAACCACCATTGGGGGGGCAAGATATCCACCCCTAACCACACTTCCTTGGGCTCTCAGGCCCTTCTTACTCCCATATGATGGAGCAGCCCCCTCCCACCAGGGTGGCCAAAGTCGCTGCAAAGAAACTGGAGGTTAACTCAACGCTGGACTGCTGTGGGGGAGGGGGCTCCTCCACAACCCCAAGCATGCACCCTGTAACATCATGCTGGGGCAGGAGGCCTGCTGGGCCGCTCCGCACCCCAGTCCACACCGTTTTTTTTCTGTTTTTTTTGGGGGGGAGGGTGAGTGTGGAGGGAACAGACATCAGAACAGAAAATGAACCAGAAGGGGGTGGGAGAAATCTTCAGGAAATGGCAGGGAGCAGAGAGGCGGGTTATATGCTCCCATAGGGCCTGGAGGGGCCCCACTGCAGAGGGGAGAGGTAAAGTGGAGGGAGGCATGGGAAGACGTGCGGTGCTATTGAAAATCCCTGCCTTACCTGAGAGGACTGACCCTGCCACCCACCCACCCGGCCTTGTCCTATCTCACCCTCCACACCCCTGGCTCAACATGCACTGGGAATTCTGCCCCAGCCGGAGCCCACCAGATAAGGGTGAGGAGAAGAGATGAAGGGAAAGGCTCCTGCTGCTCTTGGGCAGGACATAGCAAAGGGCAGGCCTTATGCCCAGGCCTATCATCCTATGGGACTGTTGGGAAAGCCAAGAAGTCCTTGTTCCCGCCCCCAGCCCTGGCCTAGGGGGCTATCCTCAACCAACCACAATACCCTGCCCCGCCCCAGCCCGCTCCCCCCCAAATAACAACCAGAGGAAGAGAAAAAGGTGCCATTTACCGATGCCGGCCTTGCGGGTGTCCAAACCGAGCGGGATGGGGGGGGCTCGGCAACTCCTGGGGGCCTGGCGAGGAGGCGGGCTTCCCGGGGGGGGGGGACACGGGACCGCTTACCTGGAGCCCCCAAGCTTACCTGAGCGCGCGCACAGACCCCCACCCCCACCACCATGGGGTCAGCTAAAGCTACAGGAAGGAGAGGTAGGGGGTACTAGGAAGCCATGAGGGGGAGGAGCCACATCTCCTGTACCACCTGGAGACAGGCAGAGGAAGTGGTGGACCCCAAAGCAGCCTCATGGAGGCCTTAAAGACGGGGAGACAAAGATTAACACCAAATCTGGGAGCTGGAAAGCCTCAGGACTACCTTTTTTGAATTTAGAAAGAAGGCTGGGGAGGCTTTAGAAAACCTCTTTACTCTTCCCAATAGTCACACTAAGCTAAGCACATGGGCCACCCCTAAGGACCTAGAATGACATTTCCACCTGCAACTCCACACTCCCTCCCGCCAGCTGCTTCAGCCCAGGGGCTGGTACACAGGGGTCCAGGAGATGAGTGCTGCTGTGCTCTGAGCAGGAGGGGCCGCTTGGCCCCTGAACCCAGAGGAAGGGAGTGAGGGAAGGCATTTAAGGACCAGGATCAGAGTCAAGCAAAGGAGTCCTGCTTGGGTTCAGTATCCCAAACCCCAAAGAGTCCCAACCCAGGAGGAACAGCAAAGAAAACATGTGATTGTGTACGTCTAGGCTTCTCTTTCTTTCCCTCTCTTAAGTCTTTAGACAGTTAAAGGTTCTTAAGTAAAAACCTACTACACCTTCAGCTATTTGCAGCCTACCCCTTGATCTCTCCCACCCCCCAGCCCCAATCCCATGCACTCTGGGGAGCTCCTGACCACCTCTGGAGAGCAGCTGGGCACCACAGCCAGCCCACTCAGGAGGCCTCCATCATGGTTAGCAAGAAGGAAGGGGGCAGAGCACCTTGCAACTAGCAGCCAAGAAAGAATCTCCAAAAATATTCAGTGACAGTCCCACAAAAGGGATGAGTGGCAGGGAGGGAAGGGCCAAAGGGCTCCACATGGAGCCCCAACCCTAGTGCATTCCATCTTCTGTGTTCCCACCACCTTGCCGCTAATGTTATGAAGCCAGGAGGCAGGGGTGTTGGGTGGAGCCCAAGTGGAGAGGCTGGTTGCCTTTCCCAGAGGTTCATCCTTCCTCTCCTGGGACTAACAAGATTCTCAGAGAGCATATGGATGGGAGCAGAGGGGCAACGGGCACCCCATCAAGGAAAGGGCTGTGGGTGCAGGGAGGCTGAGGGGGCAACTAGGGTGGGGGGAGGGATGCCTTGCTGTTCCTGAGCTGCCTGGCTAAGCTGGGCTGGTGTGCGGTGCTGAGTGATCTTACCCATGATACAAACCCTTATACCAACCATACACTGAGGTGTTGTAAGGGGAGCGTAAGCATCAGCTGCAAGCCAGCTGCGTGGTGGCTGCAGTGACAATAAGAACAGTCAATTAATACGGCGGCCCCTGGACACGCCGCAGCCCTGCCCGCCCCCTCCCATCCATCCCTACCCATGTGAACGCCGCGGCAGCCTCAAAGGGGGCTGTGGAGCTGTGGGGGCAGGCGCTGAACACACCTACCACCCCACTGCCCACTGAGAACATGGTGTGGGGCCAAGGGTGGGGAGGTGGAGGGTCGGGTGGCCCAACCCCAGTTCTACTGGGGGGGGAGAGGCAGGTACAAAGGCCAGTCCTCATTCCAACCTGGCTGCCCCCAACTCCAGTGGGGGAATTAATGGGGAAAGGTTCCCCCAAAATCCGACCCCTCCCCCCACCTCCAGCTGGCCCCAGCCCCCACCCAGTTCCCTCCTTGTCCCTGATGTTCAACGTGTGACACTTACCTCCCCAGGTTCACACACACACACGTTGTGGGGGATTTGGTTTTTGTTTTTTAAAAAACACGTATATAAAAAAAAAAAAGATATATCAGAAACAGAGGGAGGAGAAGAGACATTGCTAATGTCAGGTGTGGCAGGGTAGGGAGGGGACAGACGACTGGGAAGGGGCTGGGGCAGCAGAGAAGTGAGAGCGGGTCAGAGGGAAGGGCTGAGGTGGGAGGTACTCACAGTGCATGTCTCGCTCGTGCTCATACTCGATGAAGGCATAGCCCCGGGGCTTTCCCGACCGCTTACTGTAGACCATGTGTATCTGCCAAGTGGCCAGGGGCAGGTTAGTTCTGCTGCAGGGACACACCACCCATCAATCCCATAGCCTATGTGCTAAGATCTGGGCTGTGTGATGCCTCAGACCTCTGTCCTCTAAGATCTCTGAGTGACTTATGCTCTAATGGTAGGAGCAAAGGCCACAGTACAAACCAGAGAGACATAGAGGTGGCTTCCTGGAAGTCACATTTAAGCTAAGACCTGAACAATGAATAGTGATGAACAAGGGCACAAAGAGGTGTCAGCCTGCCATGTAGAATAGCACTTAACTCCAAAGGTCTGAGGGTTTGGGAGAAGTATGGGGCAAGGGGCTGGGTGGCTAGTACGTATTTTGATGATAGGATCCTCAGATCAGGCCACAAAGATCCCATGATCACCAAACACCCCTAGTAACAGGCCAAGAAGCATGGTTTGTAAGGAGCTGAAAAGAGTAAAGGCCCGTGTAGCCAACTCATGCAGTCAGGGAAAAAAAAACAGGAAGGTTGGGAAACAAGGGAGTTCTGAACGCGAACAAGGCAGGGAATTCTAGGGTAAAGCAACAGAAGGGCACGTGCAAAAACAAACCCAGTGTGTACAAAGCTAGGGAGGAAAGAATGTAGAGAGTGTGATGGGTGCAACCATGTGGATGGGATGAGATGGGAAGGAGTGGAGGTACACAAGGCCACATAGATGGGGAATGGCCCTGATGGCAGACTATAGCAACTGGACCTCTGCCCTGATATACGAGAACCATGGGAGATATGAACAGGGTTGGGGTCAGCTCTGGGTGTCAGGAAGACCCTCTGGAATCATATGGGACTTTGACTATGAACAACAGTCTAACCAGGACTATTAGGACAGACGTCAGGATGAAACAGGAATCACTTATGAGAAGTGACCGCATCTGAGCTGGTCCCCAAAGGATGGCTAGTTCTGCATTCATACCACTACCACTCAGTGAGCAGCCCATGTCGTAGATGGTTGTGACTCTGTGTTCACCTGGCCCTAGGACTTGAACCCCGGGACCCTACAAGCCCCCCAAACCCAAATGAAAATTCCAAACTGACCCAAAGTGGACTGAGAAAAACAAGGTTAGGGTCAGGACTCTATCAGAGTACTTCAATACCACAGGACCACTTCCCATGAGAGACTTGAGGTAGGGAGAGGCCAGCATGAGCACATTTAGACTTAGCAGTCTGCATGCAGGATGCCCAGTGAAGGCATATATCTACCCATTTTATCACTTGGAGAAATAAGACACAGAGTACTTAAATGACTTTGTAAAGAGCCACACTCCGCCCCAATTACCCAATCTGCCTTATAGCACCAGCAACCACTAACAATGTGTAAATGAATAAGGCTACATGGCTTTGTGTCAGGAAAATTTTATTTACAGATTTGCCAACCCTTGTTCTAAGCCAACAACCTACAGTCGTGACATCTAATTTTACTTCTGATACCCAAGGTCTACTGCTTGGAAGTACAATCAAGATGTAAACCAGGGCATGAAATGATGTGAGGTGTCCTCAGGACTGAGACTCCCTACACCACTCCAGGCCACAGCCTCCTCCCCCATCCACTCCCAATTCAAATATCCCTGATTCAAACCACTTACTCTTTTGATGGGTCCATACACCTCAAACTCTCTCCGGAGCTTGGATTCTGTTGTATCATAGTTCTACAAGACAGATTATGAAGTTAAATGGGAGAAGGCAGCTGTCCCAAACCCCTAGGAACATTCCTCAGGACGTAGCCTACTGCCCTCTATCTCAGCAGCCTGGGGTTCTGAGGGGAAGGAAGCTAGAGACTTACCACTCTAGCCACGAAGAGAGTCTTGAAGGCATCACCCTGAGCATTGGGATCATTGTGAGGGTCCCCTGTGCAGGAAGAAGAAAATGTGTAAGTAGAAAGTGTTGTGCCCATGGTAACATGACAAAGAGATAGGCAGAGGCCAAGAAGAGGCATGCCCCTCTCTGAATCATGGTTTTCTGAAGCACAGTAACCTTTATTAAGAGTGGCTCTGTAAATGATGATTCAGGCTGATGCAGGGGAAGAGTAAGGCAGACTTTAAGCTGACAGGATGTGGTAGGTCCAACTGCCATTTCAGATCTACATGGCCTAAGGGCTCCATCCCTCCCAGGTGCAAAGTGAGCCAAGCAACTGGGCCTCTCAGGAGAGACAGCCTGATCAACCCGGGTGCTAAAGCTCCCTCCCTCAGGTGGGGCTGTACTGCCACCCAATGGACACAGACAGCAAATACAGCTAAAGGAAAACCCCAGACTAAGCAACCCTAAGGCTTGGAATAAAAGCCAAAACCCTACCTTCTCCTCTAAGCCCTGTGGCCTCAGGGAGGAAACCAGGGCTGCTGCTAGAGCAAATGAAGAGTGAGGAACACAAATCAGACTCTAAACTACAGCCTTGCAAGGCAAATAATTGTCCTGTCTGGCCACTGAAGAACAACAATTTCCAAAGAGAGGATCCAGGAATCTATTAAGAAATCAATTCCGGGTGGCGCCTGTGGCTCAGTGAGTAGGGCTCCAGCCCCATATAATAAGGTGGCGGGTTCGAACCAGCCCCAGCCCCAGCCCCAGCCAAACTGCAACAACAACAACAAAATAGCCAGGCATTGTGGCAGGTGCCTGTAGTCTCAACTACTCAGGAGGCTGAGGCATGCAAATCACCTAAGCCCAAGAGCTAGAGGTTACTGTGAGCTGTGACACCACAGCATCTACCAAGGGCAACAAAGTGAGACTCTTTCTCTTAAAAAAAAAAAAAGAAAGAAAGAAACCAATCCCATACTTGATTCTGCTGGGAATAAGCCCTTCTCACCAAACAATATTTGACCCTAGCACACATAATGCCCCTGACTCCTCCTGAGGCCCTAAAGGCATTCTGCCCAATGCACAGTGGAAACACTTCTTCTACAGTATAGCATTACCCTCAGAAGACCCTGTTGCATTCTGGGAGAATACGAGAAAAGGAATAAAATTAATAATTAATTGAGCACATACCGTGGCCCAGACATAGCACTGGACACTGAAATTCATCTATCACTATTTTGCAAATGCTAGCAGACAAAACCCCGGACACAGGACAGGGGTCATGTCATTCTGTGTTAAAGATCTTAAGCCAGCTTCACCTCTAAGCCCAAGCATTCAAAGTACCAAGCTCTCATCCTAAATCCCTGGGGGTTACTTTCTCAGGAGAACACTGTGGGTGTTGCAAGAAGCCAGAAAAAGTGTTTCAGATCTGTTTCTTGGGAGGGTTTGAACATAAACTAAGGTCAAGATGACCTTAAGGATTTCTTAAAAAGCAGAGGCCTGACCCACAAACTTAAGAGAATAATTTTCTAGATATAACTGTAAAGACAACTCCACCTCTCTGCTGTCCACACCCCAGTTGCTTGCTGTAATTCATCCTTCTGTGATGTAATTCTGTGCCCCAGTCTTACTGTGCACTGCCTCACTCCCATTCACTCAACAGGTAATTACTAAGCACCTCCTACCTGCCCAGAACCGTTGCAGGTGTTGGGCATTTGGCAGTAAACAAGACAAGAAAAATGTCCCTACCCTCCCTGAGCTCATATGCTAATGAAGGGTTAAATAAGGAAATCATGTTTCATCCTATCAGGCGATGACTGAGGGATAGGGGAGAAGAGGCCATTTTAAAAGGGAAGGTTAGGAAAGGCCTCACTAAGATGGTGACATTTAACTGAAGGCCTAAAAGTGTCACACCAGCAATAGGAAACACACCTTGAAACACCAAGCAGTTGGGTCAGTAACAGTTACTATGGGACTACTACAGTGGGACCAATGAATGCTGCCCAAGGGAGTGGACAAAGGCCAAAGAGAGCTGAGCTTTCTGAAAAGTGGATAAGAGGTGCCAGCAGACAAAAGGGAACCCACCCCAGGCCTACAGCTTAAGTCTCCTCTAGTTGTCAATGACCCAAGTGGGCCGGAGTGTGACTAGAGGTAAAAGAAAATGAAGCCAAATCAGTAGTATCAAGTAGAATACATTAACTGAAAAAGGGTGCCATAGAACTAACGCTGGCCAGTGGTTCACCAGCGTACATGTGCACTCTGCTGGCAACCCCATCCTTAGGAAATATTTATTTAAAAGGACTTGGTGTCCATGCTCAGTGGTTAAGGTGCCGGCCACATATACCAGTGCTGGCAGGTTCAAACCCATTCCGGACCTATTAAACAATGACAACTGCAACAAAAAAATAGCCAGGCATTGTGGTGGGCGCCAGCTATTTGGGAGGTTAAGGCAAGAGAACTGCTTAAACCCAGGAGTTTGAGGCTGCTGTGAGCTATGACAATATAGCACTCTACCAAGGGTGACACAGTGAAACTCTATCTCAAAAAATAAAATAAAATGCTGGTCTAGGTACCACTCCAGAGCAGGAGCTCATAGGAACTGGACTGTGGAGCTGAGAAACCTCATTAGACTTCAGATGACTATAATAACATCTCTCCCTTTAGGCATACTTGCCCCAACAAACCTCCATTTTCTTCATCTTAATGCATCACCTTCACTGCACTTGGAAGCTGTGGTAAGTCAATAGCAAGGAGTACATCAAGTGCTTTGCGT